AAAGGAAATGAAAACACGAATTCTAAAAGATACATGCACCCCTGTGTTCACTGGAGCATTATTTACAATGGCCAAGATATGGGAACAATGCAAATGTCCATTGATAGACAAAGAAGATATGTTTTATATATATACAATGGAATTATTACCTAGCAATTAAAAAAGAGTGCGGTGTTGTCATTTGCAACAACATGAGTGGAACTTGAGGATGTTATACTAAGCAAACTTAGAGGACAGAAATACCGTATGATTTTGTTTATATGTGGAATTGAAAGAATGAAAGAACAAACAAAACAAAACTCATAGATACAGAGAATAGATTGGTGGTTTCCAGAGGAGAGAGGGGTTTGGGAATGGGCGATTTGGGTGAAGGGGATCAGAAAGTACAAACTTCCAGTTATAAAATAAATAAGTCATTGGGATTAAGTGTACAGCATGGTGACTATAGTCAATAATGTATTATAAATTTGAAAGTTGCTAAGGGAGTAACACTTAAAAGTTCTCATCACAAGAAAAACAATTTGTAACTTTGTGTGTTGACAGATAGTAACTACAGTTATTGTGGTGATCATTTTGCAGGGTATGCGAATGTTGAATCATTACTTTGTATACCTGAAACTAATATAATGTTGTATGCCCGTTATACTTCAAGAAAAAAATAGCAGTCAATAGTACTATTCTATATCATTCTTTTTCCAGTAGCCTAATTTTACAAGGAAAACTGGTTCCATTCAGCTAATGCATATCTTGCTTGAAGCTGTATCAATCTTACAGATCCTCAGATACACTTCTGCTCCAAAACTGTGTTTTGGCCAGTTAGGCAAATGGGATGGGGTTTATCTTAATTAAGATGTCCTTTAACAATCTTTCTAATCACTAGTTTCCATTTAAACTGTCCCAGTACTGATACTAATCACCAGTAAGGAATTATCCTTCTTATCATGACTCTGATCTGAAAATTGGAATAAAATAGTTTTATTGGACTTGTGACTACTTTCTAGCATATAATAAACAATGGAAATAAAAAGAACAATGCCTAATATTTAGTTTCTGTAAATCCTTCTGATATTTACCTTAAGATAAAATCAAGTTTGTTCTTTTCATAATGGTCTAATGATTTCCAGTTTTAAAATATATGTCTGAATTTTTTATGAGGAGCTTCAAAACCTAGTTTTTTCCATTTTATAAGAAAATTGATTTTATTAACGTTCTTGAATACAAAATCTTGAAAATTAGGATATTAAGAGGCTTTAAATTTGTCATCAGATTAAAAATATATTAATCAGATTAGTGATAAAAATTTTTAAATACAGTTTGTAAACACAAAGGCATTTTCACTACATTCTTTTTTCTAGTAGATCTTTGATTTTTGCCCTTCCTGTCATTCATTTCTTCCTTTACATTTTCCTAAAATTCAAATAGTATTTTTTTTAACATTTAGACAAATAGAACTTGTACCTGACTTTTATTTTAGTTAAGATAATTTACTCCAGTAATTCCCAAACTTATAATTAAAGAAGGGAGCTTTTTTTGGTCAGTCATTATAAATGATACAAATCTATAATTTTATATGTATACATATATATTCTCAGAATTTTCCAAATATTCTGGAAATGTATGCAATAAAAATATTAACAATGGTTATCTTTATGTATATATATAAATGTTATGAGCATATATATTATACATGCATCATATTTTATATATTTATACATATGTATGTATATGTATATAAGATACATGTAATTTATGTATTCTTGTGTATTTTCTGATTTTTTATGAGCAAAATAATTGTAATAACAGAAGCAATATAGGTATTTAAAGTAATACTTAAAATAATACTCTGCTGGACTTTGGTATTAGCATGTTTACTTACAGAAATTTTGGTTTTGTTTACTCTTTTCTTTGAAGTGGTGATTATAGGTTGAACCTCTCTTCTTTGTGTTTCTTCCTTTCCACTCCCTTCTCACATGTACATTGTTTTGGGCTTAAGGGTGGGGATAACTATCAACTGTGATAGTATAACCAACAAAACTCTGGTCAAAAGGGCTTTGCTATTAGTGTCTTCCTTTAGTTTTATTCATATTTGCAAGAACCAGTTGCATCAGGACGCATATATAGGAGAAATGCAAGCCACAATACTACGGCTGATGTATGCTACTACATCTCAGGGCAGAAAGTTCTGGTGTTTACAGCAAGTTTCTTTCTCCACTTAAACCCTTGTTTTCTGTCCATCATTAAGAGTTGATAGGCTATCTTAAATGACCTAAGACTTTACAGATGCACTATATGTCTCTGAATATTTTCTCCCTCTTTCTTCTCCTCTCTTTTAAGATTTAATTCTGCGCCTCTGGAATCCTAGTAAAATTCCAAACTTGTTAATCAACATTTTCTTATGCGGTAGTGTATCCACTCATATGGATGAATCTCATGTTGGGTGGAGGAATATCAGTCCTAAGCAATCATAAACATATGTCCTCCATTCCCTCCAGAGGGGATTCTCGCAAAACTTAATTTTTAAATACAAATCAACTTTAATTCCTTAACATCAATGAATATGACCTTTAAATAATAATAACATTTAATCTATATAGTTCATGACTAAATCTTTTCATTTAATATTGTGTTATAATCCTTTGGATTTTTTTATGTTGTCATTTTCTATGTAACCCAAGAGGAATGAGTATAGAGATGACAATATTAATCTTGACATCACTGACATAAGTTCTTTGTAATGGGAAGCAGAATCAGAGGCCAAATAGGTAAAACTAGGAAACACAATGGGGTGGGGGTTGTTAAGTCTTTATAGGTAATTCGTATGACTCTTTTTCTAGTCAAAATATGGTGACTAACATAAAATAATAAAATAAAATTAAATTTAAAAAAATAAAACCCGAATTTCAAAATAAAACATTTAAAAAAGTAATGTTTAAAATTTCTTACCAAGTGATGGTACACATTTTTTGTAATGTTATTAAATTCAAACTACTTACCTAGATGAAAATGGTTTTTCTATATTCGTCTTAAGATAAACATTTGCTATGATTATTATAAAGACCATAAACAATTACTCAGGTAGCAAATATCCCCTCTATGGAATGAGACTGCCTCAGATTTTGCTGCAGTGGTTCAAATAAATTGAAAGCCTTCAATACAAAGAGAAATTTCTACGGTCTTTATCCTCTTTGATATTATGTATGCTTCTCTATGATCTATATAGGGCTTGACTTTCAAGAAAAAATTTACAGTAGTGCAGTTCTGAACATTTAAAATAATGGTCTTCTTTAGTGTCTATTTAAGTGCATCCTATTCTTACAACAATTACCAAGAGGCTCTATGCCTCCCTTTATATCCTATTGATTGACTAAAAAAAGTAAAACAATTATATGATAGTCTCTATTATCATATAACATTTTCTCTACTATCATATAACCTTTTGATAGAAAGATACTCTTTGCTTTTCAGAGTATGATCTATGAGAAAATTTCTTCTTGTCTATACAATTTATATATAATTTTACAGACATGCTTTACTTTGATGTCTTAAGATAAATTTATAGTATCAATGTTTGGCTGTAACAAATACAATATAAGACAGTAGAAGTGTTACCATAAATTTTTATTTAAGCAAAATAAATGATTGGTGATTAGTAGAATAACCTTTTAATGTTTTAATTATAAACTTCGGGCTCTGAATATTATATAAGGAAAGGGAGATAGCATATTCTCATAAACATGTCAGCAAAATAATTGAAATGTCACTTGATTTATCTTAAAGTATTTTCCATTGTATGTTGGCATTCATTTTTTGCTTATGGTAAATTATATTTACCAATTGCCACCTTGTTCTTTTTTAACCCTAATTTTTAAAGAGCTATGCTATTCTCTAGCTTATTTTTAAATAATATCAATATTTTTTCTCATGTTGATATATATTCTTCTACACTATGAAATAAATGCTTTTGAATAATTAAATTTTTTTTAAATTGTCTACTTTATAAAATCACAGGAAAGATACATATACATCTTTATATTTATATTATCACTTTTGTGTTTGGGGTTTTTAGGAAAAAAAATATTGATACGTTTTAGAATGAACAAAACTGAAATTCAATTTGAAATAGTAATTTTAATTTATATAAATCCAATTTATTTTATTTAAATTATATTATGTTGATAATTTAATGTTATATAGATCAGATGTTTTTTATTTACCTTGCTTTTTAATCCATTGATAGTTGTAAAGGTATTATCCAGTTCACCTTCAAGTATATCTTGGCCTTAGGGTGGCTTCACAAATTTGAGAAAATAATAATGACAATAATAATATGATTTGTTATGTAATATTATGTGCCAAACCTTATGGTAAGTACTTTATATACACTTAATTACCACGTGTCAAGTATAGAACAAGGAACCCCAATTTTGCCATTTTAAAGTTGAAAAACTTGAAGCTCAGAGAAGTTCTATAATCTATCTGAGGTCACTTACAAAGTAGCAGAGTAGAATTTTAAACCAGGCCAGTATGGCTTCAGAGTCCTGGCTTTAACCACGGCTGTATTTAGCAGAGTGCCAGACCTGACTCAAGTCAGCCCCCAGAAAGTCAAAAGCTAAATATTCAGGGATTTTGTGAGCTGGTTGTTAAGACACTAGCAATTTGAAATTAGCCATGGCAGGAATATTTATACCATAAAAATCAGCAAATGCTACAAATTGGGCCTTGCCCCACACTTTCATGTCCTCCGCCTGACAGTTTACTAGCATACCATTGTCTTTACAGCCAAAGTCTTGTCAACATTCACCTATATATTAGGTTACAAATATAAGTAACAGATGTAAATTTTTTATCGTTTGCTGAGTACTACATATAAACTGCCAGCCATTAAAAAATTTGCCATTAACAGTTCCTGAATTAAATATGTCATCTTTCATTGTGATATCTAAAATAATTTTTTGTAGAGAAGAATATGTAAAATAATGAATTATCTTTTTTATTTTCAGTGATAGTGGAAAGTGGAAAGATAATTTCTTTTGTGGCTTATATTAATTCTGGATATTGTGACATTTATAGAAATATTGTAGGACTTATGAAACTACAATCAAAAAAAGTGGTAAGTTTTAAACTTATGTATTCTCTTTAATCATAATTGAATCTAGCCTAATTATCGAACATTTATTTGTCTCCTTTTGTGAAATTTCTGTTCAATTTTTTTGACTACTTTTTGTTATTTCTTTTCTTTTTACTGAGTTGTAAGATACAGGAATGTAGAATACATTGTATTTTGAGTTGTGAGACATAGGAATGACCAATAAGCACATTAGAGATGCTTAATATCTTTATTCCTCAGAGAAATGTAAATTAAAACCACAACAAGGTACCACTTTAAGAATACCAGATTGGTTAAAATGCACTTTACATTTGACCCAGGAATTCCACTTTATTTACTCAAGAGAAATAAAAATATACATTACAAAAAGACTCACATGAATCTTCATAAGCGAAAAACTATAAGTAATCCAAACATCTATTGACAGATGGATGGAAGCATTGTGATACATTCTTACAATGGAATGCCATACTTCAATAAAGAGAAGTAATGCATACACGAATATGGATGAATCTCAAAGCATTAGGCTGGGCAAAAACATCAAACCCAGTCTATTTGATTCCAGTTTTATGAGGTTCTAGAACAGGTAAAACACTAATGCAGTGATAGAAAAGTTAGAGCTAATTCTTTTTTTGATTGGTCAAGCAGTCTTCAATGGCATTTAATATAATATGTAAACTTAGTTGAATTCTGATACACAAATTATATTCAGTGTGAAGATCTGCCATTTATATAAGTGGCAATTCTTCAAGTTAGATATTGGCTTTTGACCCCAGGATATTTAATAAAGGCTTTCACCTCTTCCAAGTTCATGTCATCAACCTGCTTTGAGAGCTACACTTCTTTTTTTTTTTTTAATCATACTGCTCATCAATTCATCCCCATTTTTGATGCTGTTGAGATCTCCGTGAAAAGATAATTTGGAGTTTCAACTTTTTCTCCAGAATCATGCATACTGAAAACCTGGTAGGCCCTTTTCCACTGTTTCTAATTTGGACCTAAATTGCTAGTTCCCTGAGTCAAACTCACTTTCCATGTTTCTTTATTATTTAAACAAGAAAGTCTTGATGGAATTCCATCTGTGGCCATTAATTCCATCAATTCTGATGCTAGCCCTCTGTGCTTATTTTCTCATTCTCTGTTAGTGCAACAAATGTGCCTTGCAACTGCGGCTGAGGTAATAAATGATAGCTAAGAAAACATACAAAGTTAAGCTATATTTACAAAATGCTATCCTTGGACCTTGAGAAATGGAATGAGCTCAATGTTTCCTAAACATCTTGCTGGATTAAAAATTTAATTTGCAGATCACTAAATGACAGTACTTTCAATTACCTTAGAAATGTTGAACTTGTCTATCAATTTACTATTGTTCTAATATAATTTAAATACATGTGAACATAACTGTTTTCTCTGACTTGAATGAAATTGCAATTTATTTTAAATACCATACACCAAAATTATTTCTGAACAGTGAATTTCTGATAATAATAGTATTTATCCATTGAATGAAAGTGGTTTCACTGAACATCAATTATCTGTATCTCTTACAGAAAAAAATTCAAAAACTTGTTTGTATGGGTAGACTTAAGGAGAAGGAGTCCTTTGGTGAGATTAGTGTTCTTCTTCAAGTTCCTTTCACATGCACAATAGTTACTGGAAAAGAGGTTGAGATGGCAATCATTGACGATAAGGACCTATTTGGTAAATATATACACGTCTTTTATACCATTTTATTGATGAATTTTTGACAAGTGTGGATATATTTCATAGAAAGAGAAGGACACTCAAGTAAGTGTAGGTGTATATATATGTTATTTACAGAAACAATGTATCTATAGATAGTCCCCTTTAATACTTCATATTCTGTCTGATTTAATTGTGCTATTTTTAGAATGTATTAACAATATTTCAAAACACTTTGATTTGAAATTAATAAAATCTCTAATTCCCAAGTTACCATTAATAGCATCATACCTTCCTTTTATGGAGTATCTTTTGGTTTTTCATATCTACAATTATTGCTTCTATGTTTCTGGTTCAGGTCAAGAGTGTGCTGTCTTCCAATGTACAGTCTAGATCAAGTGTATATGAAGAATTGTGGCTTGTAGCATTTAAGCCTTTATCTGAAATTCTAGCATTCTAGTAGTATTAAAAGAATAATCATGCAGCCACCTGTGTTTGGTCCTCCAAACATTATACTCAAATAGGAAATGCAATTGAGTATGAAGGATAAATGAATAGGGTTTAATAAATGATGACATAACAGGATATTAAAAAAAATATAGTTATTTGTATAATAAAACAAGAATATCAAACATTAGATAAAGGATAAAAGAGGAAAAATTCATAGAAATGAACATGGGTGAGAAATTTGCTTTAAATAAACTCAATTAGAAACATTCCCAGGGTGCCTGGGTGGCTCAGTTGGTAAAGCGTCTGCCATTGGCTCAGGTCATGATCCCAGCGTCCTGGGATTGAGCCCCGCGTCAGGCTGCCTGCTCAGCAGGGGAGTCTGCTTATCCCTCTCCCTCTCCCTCTGCCCCTGCTTGTGTGCTCTCTCTCTCTCTCACTCACAAATAAACAAAATCTTAAAAAAAAAGAAGCATTCCCATGATTATGCATATATGATTGACTGAATCCCCTTATCCTGAATTGCAAGGGTTTTTTTTTAATGTTTTTTAAAGAATATGTACTCTACCTGCTTAACTGTGATTTTGCTTAACTTCAAGCTCATACATCCATTTTTTAAAAGTTATAAATTTGAAATAGCATTGATTAATTTTCTTTGTTCTGTGACATTCAAATACAACCCCCCAAAGGTAAATATCACTTAAAAATAAATACCAACTACCAATTAAAATTACAATATTCTCACTTGATATAGGCTAGGTTTTTCTTTTCCTGTACTAATTACGTTAACTGGTGCAAGGCAAATACACTGTGAACTCTTTTTTTTTTTTTTTTAAAGATTTTATTTATTTATTTGAGACAGAGAGACTGAGAGAGAGAGAGAGCACATGCGAGGGGGGAGGGTCAGAGGCAGAAGCAGGCTCCCTGCCGAGCAGGGAGCCCGATGCGGGACTCGATCCCGGGACTCCAGGATCATGACCTGAGCCGAAGGCAGTCGCTTAACCAACTGAGCCACCCAGGCGCCCCACTGTGAACTCTTTTATGTAAATCAACATTTCACACATGAAAGTACTTCTTTCAAGCATGTATTAGAATCTTCTTTGCTGTCTGGCAACCTAAAATTAAAATAGATGACTTAGTGTAAGATTTAATTGTGTTTTATATGTGTGCTATCCATACTTAAAATTTCTTTCTATGTTTTGCTCCTTTGAGACTGTTTTAAAGCTACTGACACATTGTGTGCCTAATTAAACATTTCCTAAACAGAAATGTTCTTAAGGATTTTATTTTGCTTGTTTTGCCACAACTTTTAAGAAAATAAAATATTTTACAGTTGACCCTTGAAAAACATGGGTTTTAACTGTGTGGGTCCACTTATACAGGATTTTTTCAATAAATACATTACTGAAAATGTGTTTTCTCTTCCTTATGATTTTCTTAATGACATTTTCTTTCCTGTAGCTTACTTTATTGTAAGAATACAGTATATAATATATATAACTTACAAAATATATGTTAATCGACTGCTGGCTATTAGTAGTTTAGTTTTGGGAAGTCAGAAGTTATACATGGATTTTTTGACTGCTTAGGGATTGGTGCCCCTGCCCCCTGCTGTACAAGGATCAACTGTATTTAATTTCAGAGTCTTTTTTTTTTTTTAAGACTTTATATTTATTTATTTGAGAGAGAGAGAGAATGAGTGCGCTCAAGTGGGGGGGAGGGGCAGAGGGAGAGAGAGAGAGAGAATCAGACTCCCTGCTGAGTGCGGAGCCCAACACAGGGCTCAATCTCAGGACCCTGAGATAGTGACCTGAGCCAAATTCAAGAGTCCATCACACAACCGAGTGAGCCATCCAGGTGCTCCTAATTTCAGAGTCTTTTTTATTTCTACATTCTAATTATTTTATTTTATTCCAAAAAAGTAAATATATATATATATATATATATATATATATATATTGAAAGCTAAATAATTTTAATGAGAAATGTAATGGTTAATTTCGCTGAAAGAATCATCTTCACACATGAACAATGTTCTTTATTTTTGCATTTTCATATTACTTCATTTTGTTTCCATCTATTCCGCTCTTTATTATCTGAAATATGAATCCATCTCTATAAAATGGCATAGGGAAGGACTTAAGAGAAAGTAAAATGTGCCTTAAAAAATATCAAGTTGATGACAAATTGGAAGCATTAAAGTAGAATAATTAACATGAGCAAAACCCAGGATGTGTCATCTTGCAATCAGGATAATATTGTTATTAGCTGGTATATTAAATTGATGTCAGGAATAATTGTTTATATGTGAGGTGGTCCATTAAAAAACAATAAAAACTAATAAAACCAATGCGCTTCAACAGAATTCTTAGCCATATGTGGATTACATTGCCTACACTTTCTAATTTATCAAAAATTGTTAAAAATACTATTTCTTTTTAGAATTGTAAAATGTATTACTGGAGAACTAAATTAAAGGTCATGTCTTTTCTTAAGTATACAAGTCACACTCTATTTGTTCCCATATAAATCATCTTAAAAGGCCAGTATTACTTAAACAATCCAGTTTATCAACAATATTTAGTAAATACATAAAGGGAACAATGAATTCACTATACCTATCTATACCTTGGGATAGGTAGAACAGAATTAGGAAACGTAAGAGATTGCATAAATGTTAAATACTTTATCTGGAGAATTATATATACAACTGTTTATATACAATCATAAAGGAAGCTGTGCAATAATTAGTTTTGAAGTATTTAAAAATATTTGAAGAGTGATTTCTTTGTTCATTTAGGTTGTTGACTTTTGGAAAGTTGCAAATAACTTTTGCAATCTATATACATGCTTCTCAGACATTAACTTGAACATCTAAATAAAAATGAGAGTAGTAGAATTATTATGAAATTTAAGCAAATATAAATATATTCTTTTTTATATAATGCCATTGGTAAAAGGTGAAAGATTTATGTGATCTGAAGAGAAACCAGAGTATTTTATATAATGCCATTGGGAATATAGTTTATCAGATTATTATTTTTATGAAGGTAATGTATTTTTGTCCAGATTCAGAACTTATACCTCAAGTCATTTAGATTAAAATTATAAATACCAACTATTTTAATTTTATTGGGATCAGAAATTCTCATCCTACCATTAAAACAAGTGTACTACTTTTGTAATGATAAAGAATTGCTTTTCATATTAAAAAATGAATTACCACTGTTTTTAATTATATCTCAATTCAACCATCCATGATTGAAAAAATAAGGGATAGCTATTGATTTAAATTGTCTTTCTTTTCAAAAGGAAAATTTCAATTCCAAGTTGACATTGCTACAAACTATCTGAAAGTTTGTATTTAAACAGAAAGAATATCCAAAGACTTTTATCTCTGATAATGATTCTCTTAATCAAAAGCCTAGCAAACTAGATTTTTTACTATAGATAGGTCTTTTAGACATTTTAGAAGCAATGAATACATTCTTATCCAGAAGATCTACTTCCCAGTACATCAGTATTTCTCCTTTTGCTGAGACAGGTTATAACCAGGTGCCTCCTTGGTAACTGTGTTAATCAGAAGAGCCTAAACTTTTGAACAATTTGTCAGAGTAAATATGCTTCCCTTTCCTTTGTTTTTTTGCTTTTGCTTTATGATAAAATTTTGTTATAAAAATACATTTCCAAGTAAAAAATAAGGTATGACACTTAAAAGTATTTTTTCTCTTATGAATCTTTTTTTGCTCCTTACTAATAATGTTAAAAGAAAAAATGCTAATTAATTTGAGTAAAATTTTTCTTTTAATTTGGGTTTTTATGAACATAGTTTTGAGTGAAAAAATTATATTTCATATAACTGTTTCTCAGTATATTATTTTATTTCATTAAGTATTTTATAAATATATTGAAGAACTGTTTTGTTAATGATAAAACCAACCAAATATTTTGAACATCTTGTAGGCATTTAAAAGTAGTTCTTAGGGAAGCCTGGGTGGCTCAGTCCATTAAGCATCTGCCTTCGGCTCAGATCATGTTCCCAGGGTCCTGGGATCAAGTCCCTCATTGGGCTCCTTGCTCAGCAGGGAACCTGCTTCTCTCTCTGCCTGCCACTCCCCTTGCTTGTTCTCTCTTTCTCTGACAAATAAATAAATAAAATATTTTACAAAATAAAATAAAATAAAAGTAGTTCTTACTTGAGGAAATTATCTTAGGAAATATCACAAAAGTTCATGAAACAATAATGTATCTTATTTTGATTGATGGAGTTCCAATTTCCTCAGTCCTCAAAGTCATCTATTGGAATTTAGAGGAGTCTAATAGGTAGCATTCCTTTTACTTGCCTGAATTCTAAAGCAAATGAGAACAGGACAAAAGAATAGAGTAGAAGGGAGATCAAAATAGCACCTTTATTGTTGATAGAAACTGGAGAATGTGGTTTATATCTGCAGACTAGAGTCCTAATCCTGAATCCCAAAATTCACCTGGATTACCTACAGAGTCATAGGCAGTGCTAGACTACCAAGTGTCTCTTCACACAGGAGATAGGGTTGGGCTTCCCAGTAAAAATTACGGAGAAGCAGGAAGAAACATCCTTCTTGGTAGACAAGCTGGATCT